TTTTGAGAGAAAGTGGATTTTTTGGGAAAATTTTTGCGAGTTTTGAGAGAAAAGGATTTTTTGGAAAAATTTCTGGTAACTAGTAGTGTATGGCCTGAGGCAATTTGCTAGAACTTTTAGTTTGAGGACAACTATATAACCAATATAAGACTGAATGTTTTGCCATATTCTGGAAATTTTTCACAATCCTTTTTTTTGAAATTTTAGGGTTAATATTTTGAATATTTTTGTTCTTCTTTTAAATAGTTCGAAATTATTATAACATATAACATTTTTAATTTTTTTTATTTTTTGGAGTATTTTTTGCAAAACTAGATTAATTTTGAATATTGAAAGAACATTTTTGATTATTTTGATTTTTTTTGTTAAATTTTGTATTCACAATTTTGAATATTTTGAAAATAGTCATTTTTTTGATCTGACATTTTTTTGAGTAATTTTATGAAACAGGTCAAAAATAAAAATCATTTATATTTATAATATTATTTGGAATTTATAATATTACTAGTTAATATTATTTATCATTTTTTCAGCATTTCAGAAATGTTTATCCACATTTTTTAAGCATGTTTGTTTAAAAATCGATCGATTTATATTATATTTTTTCCTAAGAATTTTTTTAATATTTAACTTTTTTTAATATCTTTTAAACAAATTGATTAATTTCAAATATTCAGAATTTTTTATTATTTTATAATATAAATAATATTTAAAAAATTAAAAATAATAACAAATAATATTATTTATATATTTTTTATATATAAAATTTTTTTATACATAAAAATGTAACAATTTTTAATATTTGAAAAAAAAAATTAGTTATTAAGTTTCCAAATATTCATTTTATTAAATTTCGTTTAATTTTCTTTAAAAAAAAAAGAACTTTTTGAAACAAGTTTAAATTATTTTTTAGGATTTATTAAAAATTTTGGTAAACTTGGAACCAATCAACTTTCAAATTTCGATTCAACAAATTTCAATATTTTGAAAATTATCTTTCTTATAAATTTATGCAAAAAAATAACATTAATTTTAAATTTACATTTTATTAAACATTTTCTTCATTTTTAAATCTTACATTTTTTGATTTTTGTTTTGAAAAGTTTAGTTAAAATTTTTGAAAGTTTTCATTTTTTTAAACAATTTTATAATAAGTAGAGGAATTTAAAATATTTTATGGATTATTTATTTATGAATATTAATTTTTTTCAATTCACATGTTAAAAATAAAAAAAAAGATACATTTCATTTTTTCAATTTTTAATGAAAAAAGGATGAATTTTGGATATTATATAAATTATTATTTTTTTTAAATTTAGAATTAAACAAAATATCTTTTTTGCATTAATATTTTGTTAACAATTCTCTTTTTTTAAATTTTACATTTATTGCTAAATACCATTGGTAAAACTTTGTTTTTTTTTCAATATTTTGTGGATATTTTTTTATTATTTTTTAAAATTAATTAAAATTTGATCAATTTAAAATACTTTAAAAATAATCATTCAATTTTTGATAAATGTTGATTTTTTGATTTTCATTATATAATTAAATTACATTAATAAAATAAATAACATTAATTGAATATTTTCATTTTTTAATTTTTTTTTAAGAAAATTAAACAATAATTAATATTCTAAAAATATCCAACAAATTTTATTATAAATTTTTTCAAATTATTAATTAATTTTTTGTAAAACTCATATTTTTGTTAAATTTAAATTTTATAGAAAATATTAAACGTTTTAAATTTACGTTCATTTATTTTGAAAAAAAAATTGAATTTTAGAAAATATTAAACAGTTTTACATAATTTGAAATTGACGTTCATTTATTTAAAAAAAAAAGGATTTTAGAAAATATTAAACAGTTTCGGATAATTTAAAACTCATATGAATTAAACAATTTATTTTCTTAAATTTTTTTTAAAAAAATTGAATAATTTTTAATACTCGGATAATTTTTATTCATTTTTGTACTTTCATTTTTTGAAACATTCATTTTTGATGAATTCTAGATTTTTATTAAAAAATAAAGAATTTATATAAATTATTAAACATTTGAAATTTACATTCAATGAAAATATATATATTTTTTTAAATAAATTGATCAAATCCGAATATTGCATTTTGGTGTTGCATTAATTTATAAATTGCTATTTTGCACTTAGATAATTATATATATATATATATATATATATATATATACATTTATAAATTTCTATAGAAATATAAATTCGAGCGCAAAGTAGCATCTGTGCATGATGTTATCATATGAAGAACCTTTTTAGCTTTTTAGCTTTTTGGAATCATGAATAAAATATCATTCCCTCCGGTTCATGAATTTCGAGTGGCTATTCTGTCTCCATAACATATATATATATATATATATATATATATATATATATATATATATATATATATATATATACAAAAATCACCATAAGTTTTTGTCTTGTTCGCTATTTTCTTTAGTGCAGAAAATCATTGTGCGTTTTTTATCGAGGGGTCGAAATCGTTCAGAAATAAAAGCATATTGCATTGATTACATATATATGTATATGTATATATATATATATATATATATATATATATATATATATATATGAATCTCGTGTCACGATGTTGGTTCGCGATGGACGCCCAAACTACTGGACCGATTTTAAATTTTATTGGGTCATCGTGTGCATATATATCCAACTTAGGTTATAGGAAATTTTGAAAAGTAAATTTGAAATATAAATGTATAATTTTTATAAATTTCTAAAAATTTTGACAGAAAATAGCCAAAAAAAAAACAGAACACTAAAATGACAAATGTCAAAATTTAAGGAAATTTCGATATATAATTTTTGAAAAAAAATTTGACATTTCAAAAAATAAAATTCAAAAACATGTACATATATAGAAATATCCAACATTTAAATCCAAATTTGATGAAATGCTATATTCAAAATCACTGTTTATAGTTTTAAATCTAATTAAAAATCAATGCTTAAAAATTTGAATAAATGTTGACATGAAAATCGTCAAATGTCATTTGTCAATATTTATGAAAATAATTATATAAATAGATTTACAATTTAGATTAATTTGATTAGCTTACTAAATTATTTTGGAAACCAAAACTTCATCAAAACATTATAGATCAGACATCACAATAAAAAAGCGGCATATTGAATTTAAAATTAATCATAAACAAAATTTTGACATTTCACAATAAAAATGTTTAACGACTTACTTCAATAAGAAGCAAATAAATTAATTATTCCAAGTTATGTTATAGGCAATATTGCCAAACAAATTATAGATACAAAACATTATTGTAAAATAAATATTATCATATTATATTAATTTTGAACCAAGAAGGAAATATTTTGACATTTATAAATTTAGTGCATTGGATATATGAAATTGACATTCACTACTTTTTAATTAAATGCAAATGTAAAAAATCAAATATTTATATAAAAAATTGTATATTTAAATAAAGATACTGCGTTGATTTAGACTAAAATTTAATTTATTCTTTAATTTAAAAAAAAATTGACATAAACAAAATTAAAATAAACAAAACACTATGATGCGTTGGAATTATTTATCGGAGTGTAAAGAAATTTGTGTAATTAAAATATAATATTAATATTAAAATATCAGTTAAGATATATTTTGATTGTCATCGCAAATGCTAATCTTACTGTAAATTGTAACCTCTTAAATGGAATAGTACAATCTGAGGGTATCATTGGAATCTGACAAAAACAAACTAGACAAACTAAATATTATATCATATTATATTAAATTTTGACCAAAAAGAAAATATTTGGACAATTATAATTAATTTGAAATAAAATGCAAATGACAAAAATCAGATCTTTATGTAAAAAAATATTTATTTTCACGAAATTCCTGTGTTGATTTAGCCAAACGTATGAATTTAACAATTATATAATTATTCATTGAAGACTTAAAATGATTAATAATTTATTATCAAATAAATAATATTTGAAAGAAAATTTTATTGACATATATGACATGACAAAAGTGTAATAAACAAAAAACTATGATGCGAGTGAATTAATTTTTGAAGTATGAAATGTCAAATAATTTTTAAAATTATAACAATTTTTTTAACTATTTTTCAACAAATCAGAGTCAAAATCTATTAAATATTTGATTTTTGGCACTTTTATTAATTTTTTATCAATTTAGGCTTATTTTTTATGGCAAAACAACGTTTGCCGGGTTAGCTAGTATATATATATATATATATATTTTGTAGAGTTTCGAACAAGAATCCAAAAATAATACAAAATAAAAAACAAGAAAAGTTTTTAATAAACAATTTCTTTATTTAATTATTTGTTTACTGTCGACGTTTCGGAACTAGGTACGTTCCATCTTCAGGACATCTGTCAAGAAACATGATCTTGATGAGATTTAAGCAAACAATATGTTTAGGAATAGAAAATAGATTTTTCTTAAATAATAAATTAATTGTAACAAATAATAATGTACAGAAATATGATAATATGATCAAAATGAAAATGATAAAAACAAATGAGTGGATTATCAGAACAGGATATTAAAAATGAAAATCAAAATTTTCATTTTGATCATATTATCATATTTCTATACATTATTATTTGTTACAATTGATTTATTATTTAAGAAAAATCTATTTTCTATTCCTAAACATATTGTTTGCTTAAATCTCATCAAGATCATGTTTCTTGACAGATGTCCTGAAGATGGAACGTACCTAGTTCCGAAACGTTGACAGTAAACAAATAATTAAATAAAGAAATTGTTTTTTTAAAAACTTTTCTTGTTTTTTATTTTGTATTATTTTTGGATTCTTGTTCGAAACTCTACAAAATATACACAAATCCAAGACTCTACCATTCAATATATATATATATATATATATATATATATATATATATATATATATATATATATATATATATATGTGTATTACATACTACAAATTTCACTTACCATTGACCACCAGCACAGCCTTAGCCTGGGCGCTCCCAACTAAATTATCAGCCTCGCAAACATAAGTCCCTTCATCGTTCGCCGTCACTGCATCAATTCTTAGGGACTTGTCATCCTGGACACCTGCCCTGCCTACTGGCATCTTGCCATCGTCTCTACGCCACATGATAGTAGGCTGAGGGTCACCTCCAGCAGTACATTCGAACCGAACACTCTGCCCTACCAGGACAGTCTGGTCTCGAGGTTCTTTTATGAGATACGGTTTTACTGAAAAATAAAAAAGGGATAAAAAATTAGAGATAAAATCCATGCGATGCAAAATTATTTATCTATAGCCCCCAAATGATAAAAGTTCCTGATCTTGATGAATGGAAAGGCAACTTTTGTCCTTTAAATCTTTTCCAGAGACTCTCTAAATCTAACCGATCGACTTTTGATCCTTGTGAAGAATTAGGAAGTTCTAGGCGAATTTTATGTGGAAAGGTAAAAGTTTGCTTCCCGAGCGTGGGGGTGTAGGGGTAAATATAATGAAAAGTTGATGATAAAAGTGGACACTAGTAAAATTAGTATCTGTTTGTGATGGGTAATCAGTTTCAGTCTTTTGATCCCGTCGCAGGGTTAGGAAGTTTGCTTCCCGGACGTGGGGGGTAGAGGTAAATATAATATAAAGTTGATGGTCAAAGTGGACATTTGTAGGTTAACTTGTAATTAAAAGTGGTGAAAAGAGGCAATGTAGATGGTAAAAGTAGTACCTGTGTAGCTGGGTAAAAAGTGATGGTAAAAGTGGACATTTATAGGTTAACTATTATTCGTAATAGTGCAGTAAACGGAGAAGAAACAAGGGTATAATCTCTGAATTTTTTTACTGTGCTCCGAATTCCATGAAATTCTGGAATTAGGCTGATCTTAACCTCAAGTTCAAATGTGGAAACGATTCGGGTTCCGCCACCATCCCTTAATAAATAAGTGGACATTGAGCCGTTTTATCGCTAGAAATCGTTTTTAATATTAAAGGATAACATTAAAAAATATTTTTAATACCTTTTAATAAAATAATTTTCAACTCCAAAAATCACTTAAAAATAAATTTCGGTATGATATAATAAGAATTGCGTATAAAGTAAATAATATGTTTTCTATCTTGATTATCAAATTTTTGAGACTCTGATTGCGCGGCCGCGCACTCTTTAAACAATCATAACTCTATCAATTTTTTGTGTGAAAGAAAAATATTAAAAAATAATAATAAGCCAGAAAGATCTCTTAGATTTTTATCGATATGCGTTTATACGTGTCTTTTATTCTTTTTGAGATACGGTTGTACTAAAAAAGATCATTACCGATACAAAATTATTCATTTATTCCCCAAAGTTGTTGATCCCTTAGACCATCACTCACTCGAATGAAAAGGCAACTTTGATCCCTTAAATCTTTTCAAAACCTTAAATCTTACCATACTTCGAGAAGTCGATCGACTTTTGATCCTGGCGAAGAATTAGGAACTTAATGTGAAAAGGTAAAAGTTTGTTTCCCGGGTAAATATGATATAAATACGATGGTGAGAGTGGACATTTGTAGGTTAACTAGTAAATAAAAGGGATAAGTAGGCGCAAAATAGATGATAAAAGTGGCCTATGTTCGTGATGAGCAATCAATTTTTGTCTGTATTATTCAGGACGGTGTGGTCCCAAAATTTTTTTATTAAATACTAATTTTACAAAAAAAACATTACCGATACAAAATTACTTATTCATTCAAGTCGATTGACTTTTGATCCTTGCGCAAAATTGGGAACTTTAACAAATTTAATGTAAAAAAGTAAAAGTTTTCTTCCCGAGAGTGGGCGGCAAGTAGTTTTTAAGACAATGTTTCACATTTGAGAGTGGTAAGTATACTAAAATTTATAGTAGTAATAAAGCATTCTGCGGGACTTTAGTACATCAATTTCTATTACTGAATCAATTTTTGTCTGAACTCTCACCCCTTCCCCTAAGCGGGCGCCCCAAAACAGATTGGGTGTACAGATTGGGAGACGCGCGTATTGATGGCATGTTTAATACAGAGGATTTAAAGTCGTTTAAAATTCAAAGAACGTTCTTTGATACTTTTGGGGAGCAAATAAGTGATATAGTATAATTAAGATTTAATGATGGGATTAGGTTTTTGATACACGATATAAAGTTTTGGAATTCGGGGACGCGCTTTGCATATTTAAATATTGTTTTTGAAGTCGTAATTTGACTTTATTTGAAAATGTGATTTTTGAGAAAGTTTATGATTCTACTTACCATGTACGGTAAGTCTGGCTTCAATGCTTTCCCTCTGTCCGACCATATTTTGGGCAACACATCTGTATCTGCCCTGATCACTTGTTCTGACTTCTCTGATCATTAAATTTCCTCCATCGACTACTCTTACACGTGGTGATTGTAATTCTAATGTAACACCGTTCTGAAAATAAATTCATAAAATTTACAAGATCTTACATTCAATAAATATGTAGAAACCACAAATATATTATTAAAAACATGTAATAGACAAAAATCTACTAAATTTATCAAATTCTCGAGTAGAAAGATACTAAAATCCACTAAAATTTGCCAGGAACTTTTGTAAATTTATAAAAATGTATTAGATATGTTATATATTTATTTTAGAGCTGAATTATAATTTTATTACCTTTTGCCATGTCAGTGTTGGTTCTGGATTTCCTTTCGGAGGGCCACATTCTAATAAAGCAGTCTCTCCAGCAGCCAAACGAGTATCCTTCGGCTCTGATCGGAAATCTTCACGAAGAACTGGAATAAAAAATAATAAAATTATTATTTTCATTCTAGAAGTATTTACAATAAAAATATCAATATAATTTTGTTAAAACAAAAGTTTAAAGTAATTATCAAACAATTACATTAGTCATCATTTTAAAATGCTAAAAATATAATTTTGGAACGCGTAAACATTTACTATGTTTATCGAAGTAAAACTTCTTTAGGCGCGACTAGGGTGTAAATCCGTACAATCAGTAGGTTTATTGAAATAATTGCTATATTGTTCATAGTTTCTATAAATCTTTGAAGTTATTAAAATTCTTTTATTTTCTTTTAGAGCTCTTTTATTTTTCATTAATACACTGTCTTGTCTAAAACATGTAAAATTTGCACATGACACTCTTCATATATCTACTGTGCGTACAAATTATAAAAATGATGACTTTTTTACAATTTTTTGAGTTAAATAATGTTTTTCCAAAATGTGCATTCACCTTATTACTAATTTACATCGTACACTGTATTTGTTGTACAAGTATAGTTTTTTATTTTTTATGAATACACCGTTTGTGCAAAACCTATGAAATTTGCACATGACATTCTTGAATATGTCTACTATGAGTACAAATACTGAAACTGATGACCTTTATATAATTTTTTGAGATAAAAATATTTTTCCAAAACGTGCACTCGCCTCATGACTAATTTAAATAGTACACTGTATTTGTTGTACAAGCAGAGTTGTTTTATTTTTCATAAATCAACCGTTTGTGCTAAACATGTAAAATTTGCACACAATATTCTTTATTATGTCTACTATGCGTACAAATACTAAAACTGATGACTTTTTCACAATTTTTTAAAATAAGTAATATTTTTAGGCAAGACAGATATTACAGCTGTTCGAAGAATGAGATTATATCGCCAGTAAAAAAGTAAAAAAAAATACAAGCAGTCAATGAATGTATGTTAATTTTTTATTACATGAAGTTCTTCAAACACAATTATTACATGTTGAGTGAAATTGTGAAAACAATATTTGTTTAGGCGTTGTTTAACATAATCCACAGTGTGAACGAATATTATAGAATTTCTTAATCAGCAATTACTTAATTTCTCTAATAAATGATTCAAGTCCTAAATGCTAATTACAATGACAAACCGATTATATCATATTTGAAGTATGACTTTAATTACATTATTGTTTTTAAATATTATACATATTTTTAATGCCATTATAAATATATAATTTATAATATATCACTATATAAATGTGCATAATTGTCGACATTAATAAATGCGTCAACGCATCACGAGTGTTACCATATATTACTAATAAACATTATACGAAATTGTTATATGATGTGTTTATTTTTACTTAAATGCCATATTGTACAGTAGCAAATAAGTTTTACTTCAATTTTTTATTATGTCGCTTCTTAATTTTTTTTTTGGTATTATTACTATTTTGCTAAACAATGCGGTCAAAAACGGTTAATAAGTTGTCGGTGTAAAAGACCTGCAGTGTGTATTTTCGCAAAGTTATTCTTGGTAGAACCGTTTATATTTATTTACATTCGGAATTCCTCGAGAGTCATTCGAACAGCCGCTGGCAGAAGCTGCTGCAGCAGCTAAATTAGCAGAGAGCTGGAGACTTATAACATTTAAAAAAAAGTCATGTAACGATGACCAAAATTCTAAGTCGAAACGTACGAAAAATAACTTGAGTCGTTCAAATTAGATTAAAGATAACGTATTATATTACTAAAATTTAAATTAAAATCACATTAAATTAATAAAAAATATGTCTTGTATTAATAAAATTTTTATCACTTTAAGTCACAAATCAAAATGGTTTATTGAATTGAATCAAATGTGAAAGAACTCTACTAACGAACAAACTGAAATTTGATAAAAAGTGAAAAAGAGAACTAAACTGAGAAATACATTGGAATAAAAATAGAAAGTCTCTCTTTTAAAAATGGCAAAAGGACTCTACTGACGAGCAAAACTAAATTCCACATAAAATAAGAAAAAGACTCTACTGACGAGCAAAATTAAATTATATATAAAATAAGAAAAGGACTCTACTGACGAGCAAAATTGAATCCAGCATAAAATACGGAAAGGACGAGCAAAATTAAATGTCATTGTCACTTTAAGAAATTCCATAGGACTCTACTAACGAGCAAACAGAAATGCCATATAAAACGAGAAAAGGACTCTACTGATGAGCAAAATAAAATATACATATAATAAAAAATGACTATACTGACGAGCAAAATTAAATTTCATAGAAAATAAGAAAAGGACTCTACTGACAAGCAAAATCGAATTTCACATAAAATTAGGAAATGACTCTACTGACGAGCAAAATAAAATATGTATACATAAAATGAAAAAAAGGACTAGGCTGACGAGCAAAATTGAGTTCAACAAAAAATGAATAAAGGACTCTACTGATGAGCAAAACAAATGTCACATACAACAAGAAAATGACTCTACTGACAAACAAAATTACATTGCAAAAAAATGAGAAAAATACTTTACTTACGCAAAAATGAATTGAACATGAAATGAGAAAAAGACTACAGACGAGTAAAATTGATTTTCACAGAAAATTAGGAAAGGACTCTATTGATGAGCAAAAATGTATTCCAGTGGAAATAAGAAAAGGACTCGACTGACGAGCAAAATTATACTCGACACAAAATGTATTTATAAAATTCCGTAAATAATAAGAGAAAATTAGGAAAGGACTCTACTGACAAGCAAAATAAAAAAACAAAAAATGAGAAAAAGATTCTACTGATGAGCAAAATCAAGTTTCAACAGAAGTAAAAAGGGACTCTACTGACGAGCAAAATTATGTCACATAATTCAATGAAATATAAAAAATATAAAATACTAATGCATGCATAGTATTCCTTGTTGTTTATTTTTTTGCTCATATTGTATCATCGTCAATATAGAACAGAAGACATTACTCTATCCCTACGACTTTCTTTACCCTTTTCTTTTGACGCCAAATTTTTTAAATATGTTTCCAACCTATTTTCCTGTTCTTTTTAAATAATATCTAGTACTGTTTTTTATTAAACCAGAATTTTTTCTCCAAAACTACATCTCAAAATTGTTCAAGGAGTTTTTGCAGCTTATTTTTAAAAAGTAATCTATCTATGATTCAATGTATATATATAACAATATATATTCAACCATCCTCAAAATAATTTTCTGAAAACTGTCAACTGCAGCACTAGCACAGAATAATTATACCCTTTTGGGTTCTCCGAAACATCTGTCGTCTAATTGTTGTTTACAAAGGCGATGATAATGTGTTAAATTCGGTGTGAATCTCTTCGAGTGGTCGAAACAGACCAGTTGCAGCTGTGAAACACCCGGAAACTATAACTATAACTATAACTATAGCTGTAAAGTGTAAATGTAACTGTAATGGCAACGAAGTGCTCTGGGGCACATTGTTAGTGTTGGCGACAAGTCGTTCTGAATGAATTAATTTGGATGGTGTTTGGTTGTAACTTTGGAGATTTGATTTAAAATCAGAGGAGAGGATTATGCATATATATATATATATATATATATATATATATATATATATATATATATACTAGATGACCCGACAGACGTTGTACTGTACCCATGTCTACAATTCAAATAAATATACTGATATTTACCAATTAGTTGAAAATTATAATGTTTTTTACACTACAGTCTATAACCGAAATGTATATACATCCATATGGGTGATCTTAAATGTACAACTGCTTTAAATAAAATTATGAGTTTTAGAACCCCACACACTTAACTCTTTAATTATACTGTGAAATTCAAATCAGCCACGTAAAACCATGTAACATATATCAGCCAAACAAATATTGAAAATATGTTTGGTTTGATCAGAGAGGTGGACTCTAAAAAACTACTTGGAGAGTCTAAAATTGCTGAATACGATTGAAGAAAAAAAGAAACTAGGTTAGACAATTTTTTCTAGAATATGGCCCTTTTATACGTTCTGTGTTGTCATTTATATATCAATAATATCCAACACGAAGATTGAAAAAAAAATGGCCATACGATCTCAAATAAAATGTCAAAAATGAAAAAAATAGAGATATCTCATAGGAGATAATCTCTTAAATGCATTAACACCAACATCATATTGTCTTACAAAATGTATATTATTTTGATTGACAATAAAACTATGCAAAAAAATTATATATCATTTAATTGGATTAAATAAAAGCTAATATATAAACCTTTAACATCATGCTACGATCAGCAGCGCCTCTAGCGGTGCCAAGAGCAATTATTAACTTAACCACGAAATATTTTTTCATTTTTTATCTCATGTTTTAAAAAATTATTCGAATAAATAAAAGTCAGTAAAGTCATTTTTTTGTTTACAGGTTGCTATATAGTTTTCTCGCAAGAAAGGTCTTTGTGTCTCAAGTCGAGTTTTAGTTTGCTCGTCAGTAGAGACCATATCTCAATTTATATAGATTTTTTAAAAATTCTATTTATTTTAATTTTGCTTGTCGGTAGAGTCATCTTCTTATTTTATGTGGAATTTTGCTCGTCAGTAGAGTTCTTTTCTTAATTTGTTTGGATTTTTTTAATTTTTATATATTTTGAATTTTGTTTGTCAGTAGAGTCCTTTTCTTAATTTATGTGAAATTTGATTTTGCTCGTCAATAGAGTTCTTTCTTCGTTTTACGTTACATTTTACTTGTTAGTAGAGTCCTTTTTTAGGTTTTGTGGAATTCAAATTTGCTTATCAGTAGAGTTCTTTTTTTCTAGTACTTAAGATTTAATTTTGCTCGTCAGTAGAGTCCCTTTTGTCAAAATCGATGACTAGCACTTTAAATAATTCATTTAAATTATTTGCTCGTCAGTAGAGTCCCTTTTCTCCAAATCGATGACTCATTCTTTAAATATAGCATGTAGATCTTGTTTTGCTCGTCAGTAGAGTCCCTTTTGCACAAAATCGATAAACGATACTTTAAATATAG